TAATCCCCACCTATACCCCTCCTATCCCCACCAAAACCCCCCCCCCCCCCCCCTCCAACCCCAAATAGCACCCTATCACCAAATGCGCAGAAAATTCTGATTTTTTTAATGGGGGATCTCTATGGCATGCGCAACTCTGTCTTTTTCTTTTTTTTTCTTTTTTTTTAATGTCAAAAAAGTGGTTGTCCGGGATCCCGGACAACCCCCCTACCGGATGGTTGGGGGAGACGTCCGGCCATCGGACGACTGGTAACCTAGGTTGTTTTCCTTTTTGTTGCTTTTGCTTTTGTTGTTGTTTTCCTTTTTCTTTTTTTCGATTTCTGTTTTTTTCTTTGGGTTTGTTTTCGTTGTGTACCGTGTGTTTTGTGAATGGTGTCAGAGCAGTTGCTGTTGTTTGCTTGGATATTGTGGGTGTGCAGGCCATGGGATGCTGCACAAAATTTGCCATTTCTTGGGTATCACTGTAGGATCGGACGGACGGTGAATCTTTGTCGGGGTGTGATATCGGGAGTGCAGTTTATGCAGGGTTGTCGATTTGTGCATGTCTTTTTTCAAGGGACCACGCTAATCTTCTCTGTATCAGTCCAATTTTAACAGATGTCCCGAAAGACTTCATGCAGGGTTGTGAAGGTGCTCATTATTTGAATATACCAATGCGTACCAGTAGTTGGTGCCGGTCCGAGTCCAAGTTCGAGTCGCACTGTCGATTGTCGAAATCGTATGGGTAGTCGACCGTCAGTGGGACTTGCGTCCTGGGCGTGGAGTTGGAGTCCTGCTGTGGTTGGTCGGCACTGTGTGTCCAACGCCGGCAGTAGCGGTACCATTTTAATTTCACGGTAGAGGCGTTGAGTTGGAGTCCCGCTGTAGTTGGTTGGCTCCGTGTGTCCAAGGCTGGCAGCAGCAGTACCGTTTCAATGTCATGGTATATAGCAGTTGGCTGGGGAGATGTGAAGTGCTGGGCCGAAGGCCGTTCCGCTATGACCATTTAATGCATGAAGATCCATACCGCTATCGTTCATATCTGACCATTGATCTTGTGAAGATCCGTTGGCATGTCATTTTGGGACTCCCAGGCTCGGGAGGGGTGAAGTTCCCGGCCCAGGTCTGCAGCAGGCTGGGGAGATACGAAGTCCCCGGCCCAATTACGAAGTACGTCTGTCGTTCATATCTGATGGTACAACCTGTGATGATCCGGGTACGTCATAGTGGGACTCCCAGGCTCTCCGGTGTAGTGCTTGTTCCTTTTCTATTTTCCTTTGATTTCTGCTTCGAATTGGGCTCAATGATGTCTCTTCTCCTGTGCGCTGTGCAAGGAACATGAGTGAGAGCGATGGACGGAATTCCGAAGTGCAAAATCACGCTGTAGCCCAGATAAACGTGTACCAAGCAGAAAGCACAATGCACCGAGTTATCAGCCAAATAAGAGCACAACAATGAACTCGAATTGTCAACGTCGACTCTCTGTGTCCGCACAAACACAGTATCCAATGTCGTTCTTCTCTAATGGCGTCCAGCCTATCTACTGAGCACATATACTAGCCTACACTATGTTCATGCAAGAGAATCACTTCGTTGTGGAAGACCAAGTTACGTGATGGTGTCGCCAATGCAGACTGCCAGCATACACCAGGTACCTGTCTCTCTCCTCTCACGTCACCCCTCGACTTCCCACAGTGTGCCTCCGCTGAGCTAGCCCGGCAATGGCTGCTCATGCTCATCAGCAGCGCCCAACACCACAATGCGCCTGTGTGTGCCTCTTCCAGCCCTTGGCTTACCAGTGGCCTCCAGCGCTCGAACCAGCAGTGCGCTGCCGCCATCAAGCACACGGCCGGACTCTCTCTCTGGCTGCCATGCTCACTTTCCATAACCTTTATGGAAAGTGAGCTCTGCTTTGTCGAGCTCTGGGCCTGGCTGGAAGAGTTTCCAGTAGCTTCCAGTCGGGCTCCAGTGTCTACGCCCACGCCCCCAGTTGCTGTTACGGGCCTGGGCTCTTTACAGTTGGGCACGCCCATGTAGCCCACGAGGCTACAAGTGCCCGCCGCGATCTCATTGGCTGCTGGCCAGTGTGTGACAAAGATGGGGCATTCTCATTAGCCTGCGGCCATTCTGTGATATGTCGGCCTCTGGTGGCGCACGCCCAGGGCCTCAACTGTACGTGCGCTGGGCTCAACTGCTTCTCGAGCTGCTGCCGCCGGAATGAGCCAAGAAAAAGGCTCACGTTACTCTGTAATCAACTGGTGTGCTACAACTGTCTGATACCCGACATGCAGAATCCGCCTTCACTTAGAGTGAGCACAAGTCTGTACTGGGACTCAACCCACGAGATGTGGGGTGAGCCGTAGAAGGGCCACTGCGCAGATTCAGGCCTGCATATAGATTCCAACAGCCCTGTAGCATGATCACCCGGGCAGATGCCACAATCCGGTTTATTTCTGTTCTCATTGCTTATTTACATGCACATACCTGTCTTGTCTTTTTATGCGGTTCTCAATTTTCTGCTAATGATATAATAGCCACCTATTAGTTCTTGTTGCTCAGCTCGTGGTTTTACCGCATGGGTTTCTCAATAGTGGTTTCAGAGTTTAATATCCTGTTTTGGGTGTGTTATTTTCCTCGTTTGTGTGGCAGAGTGCTATTGGTGAGGGAATGACTCGTAAGGATCATTCTGATGTATCCAATCAGGTGAGCAAAAATTTGCCTTGGCGTGCTTTTGAAGCGTGGATGTGTGGAGAGTGAATGGGGAAAGAGATCGCTCTTCCTGGAGTTAAGTGATGTGATGTTTTTTTTTTTAATGTTTGTTCAAGGTCGGACGGTCGGCGGCCCTTGACTGGTCGGCTGCTGACCCGTGGAGCCGATCAGCGTCCTGCAAAAAAAAAAAAAAAAGAGGGGTCCAGAAGCCC